GTTTAAAATGTTGTTTAACGGTTTGCCAATAAACTGACAAACCTAACAATGTTGTTTAACGGTTTGCCAATAAACTGACAAACCTAACAATGTTGGAGCTTAGTAGTTGTCACCTACTTATTAGGGTAAGATTTTAGTTCACCAAAACGGTATCGTATACAACCGTTTACCAGGTGAGTGCTAACCGTAGTAAGAGTCGTCACCTACTTACTAGGGTACGACTTTCGGTTATTGCCTTCGCTATTACCGGGTAATATTCTTGGTGTTTGTCATATCTATCTGGTAAGGTAATGTGACTTGGTAAACGCTTAACTGGGTAAGCGTTTGATAAACAACTCCTAAGCGCCATTTACCAAACAGGTAGTAAACAGCCCCGTAATTTCTATTTTCTAGTCATAGTTTGCTGCCCGATGAATGAGTATATCTCTAGGCGAAGGACCGTGGGTTAAGGGCCCAACCTTGACGCGCAGGACCTTGTCAACAGAGTCGTGAACTTAAAAGATTACTTCAAAAACGAAATTAATACATGTTAAAAGCAGGGTCTGTCCTAAGATTTCTAATGCCCTATGTGGGAATGCTAAAAAATACACCCATTTTTTTTTAAAGCAAATGATACCTAATTTTTTGTAAGGGTTTGGGACATAGTCAAGCTATAGGGCTCATCCCCACGCCAAAGGAATCAAAGCAGTTGAACAAGAAGGGATGAAGAATAATAGGATTCAGTGTGATTGTTCAGTTGTTTGATGATAGTATTCACGTTGTCTTTCTTTAATTGGATTAACCGCTTAGTTGATATCCTGGGCAGTTTGACTTGTTTACAGCCCAAATGATTAAACCAATGTTAATAACACATAAAAACTCGATATCCTTTGGGATTCTGATGTCCTTAGTGAGATGTGATCCCTCTACTCTCTCTCTCTCTCTCTCTCTCTCTCTCTCTTATAACTTTAGAGAGATGGGCTTTGGTTGATTAATGAGGATCGGATTGTCGAGGACTAATTTAGTACCAATCGGTTTGGATAAATTATGCAAATTTTCGGGACGACCAGTTATTAATTGATTAATTTCAGATATGGTTACTAAGACCAATTAAGGGGAGCAACCGACACTTTTCAGACCAATATCGTTTAAATCATGTTTATTTGCTTGTATATAAAGATGATCTCGTTTAATTGAATAAATGTTGAAACCAATTGTTATGAACCCGTTAGAAATAGTTATTGATCGATCTTTTTTTTCTTCAAGCTTTTGGAGGATGGAACTGGGAGCGTTAAAGAACTACGCAAATTGCTCGTCTATAACTCTAGCCACCAATCTTTAACTCTTCCACCATCAGTCATATTGCATAATTTCTTTCATATTAATCTAAACTATATTATTAAACATTTGACAAAAATTCTTAAAAGCATTTTTATGTATTGATGAATATTACTTAAAATTCAATATTACAAGTAAATTGTATGTAAGTACAACTTATTAAAGATTCATGTTTGAATTTCTGTAACTAACTGCATATGAACATAATCAAATAAATGATAAATATCTCATTTTAAATATAAAAAATCTAAAATATAATTAGAAAAATCATTGAGTTTTAACAAAATACTTAATTATTATATTTATAAAAAAATATATTATTAAACCAAAAAAAAAACTAAAGAAATACAAAAAAGAGAAATTTTAAATAGTTAGTTTGGTACTAATATCAATATTTTTTTTTCATTTTTTTGTGATATATCTTTATATTTTATTTAAAAATAAATATATTACGTTTTCTCAAAACCACATAAAACTGTATTATAACATTGACTGAGACAAAAAAAAAAAAAAACGAAAGATTTAAATCGAGATGTATCTCGCTGCATTGTGCGAGTACCCTTCTAGTCTTACAAATATAATGGCATTAAGCTATTATTATTTTATAGTAAGTTTTTTTTAAATGTATTACGATGATAAAACTATAGAATACTTGATACCCGTTAGAAATAATATAATTAATAGTAAAATATCTAAAATACAGAATCTGTTGCAGTTGAAAGTAATTTTGTTTGAAGATTTTAATTTTTAATTTAATTTAGAGAAATTATAGATATCATGATGGTAAATGAATGTTTTTCGTTACAGTTAAAAAGATATCTGAAAATGGTAATAGTTTTAGGAATTTAAGTGCGATATAATACTCTTTTTTGTAGTTTAATTTTGTTAAAACTTAACGTAACATATACTTAATATAAAATCAATATCAGCATGTATTAATAAATAAAAACCGGTACTGTTAAGTTGGTAACAAATGAAGTTAGATATCATATAATATAATATTTTACATACAAATTATAATTGATTGTTACACGATGTAAATTTTTACTTACTGGTGTAAGTTACATGAGAAAAAATGCTTATTTTTGTGTGATGAAAAGTCAAATACATTGATTAAAGAAGATAAAAAATAGTACAAAGTTCAAATCCAATGAGGAATAAAAATTCTCTTGTGGTCACAGAGGTTCAAATGCGGTGACTCCGGACTACCTGTAAAGCAGGTGTCGTGCTGAGATTAGTCGGGTCGCATAGCGGGTTGGATATCTAGGTTAATAAAAAAATAGTACATAAAAATTTATTATATATGTAGTTTCAAAATCATAAAAATGGCCACCATAATTTGTAAATACGTTAGGATTTTGATCTTTTTTTTCTGACGACTGTTAAAAATTTCTATTAAGGAACATTTTCGTTCTTTTATCATTTTTTGTGTTTACCCAATTAAAAACCATAATAACTAAAGTTACAAAATCAATTTTGATTGGGTAAAAGACAAAAAAATCGATAAAATGGTGAAAATCGATTTTAACAGTCGTTAAAAAAGGACCAAATTCAAACATTTATGGAAGTCAAGATGACCATCTAGTAATTTTAAAAGTATAGGGACTAAAAGTGTTATTTCTAACAAATCATAGAGACGAAATTTGCACTTTACATTGGAATATATGACGTTTGAAATGATTATTGATCATGCAAAAGGTGTTTATTTCAAGTTGCTAAAAGTGTAAGGACTTTATTTGTACTAAAATATAGTGTAGGGGTTGAAAATGTAATTTACTTTTTTCTATTACTTTCCGTATATGCTCTCTATTTTCCCGCTCTTTCTCTCCTTAAAATCCCCTCTCTCTCTCCCTTTGCCCCACGCAGTTGCTTCTCTCTCTCTCTCTCTCTCTACCCGCCATTCTCTCTCTCTCTAACCTTGTCCTACTCACTAACCTCCTCTCCGGCCGCCATGAACCGCCGCATCAGAAAACAATCTGTTGCCAAGAAGTCTGACAACGGTTACCTCCGCTACCTACGGCCCGGCGCCCTCGCTCAACTCCGTGACTCTAAAATCAACGCTAGATCTCATCTACGATCATATGACTCTCAGATTTCAATCTATCGCGCTATATCATCCTCGCTTACTTCTTTACAATCAGGATCTCCCAGCACCTCCGGTGTCATCCAACAACAGCAACAGGAAGTTACTGGCACCTTTACCACCACCGATGGTGAATTACCTTTTATTTCTACAAGGTTTTATGAGCCTCGTTGTCCTCAGAGGAAGAAGCTAATGGCTGCTAAATCGATGTTTTATTCGAACCACAACTCTAACAGTCTGAACTCAGATGGTCATGAACCGGTAGTTGATGTATTCAGTAATGATATACTTTTTGCTCATTAGTGTAAGTAGTTGTTCCTGTCGATCAATCTGTGAAGGAAAATGATTCCTTATATCAATTGCACAATCACAATACCAATGTTGTACCTGTAGCTTAGTTGGGGAGGATCATTCGTTTCGGGTAGTACGAAAATTATGTCAACTAGGGTTCAAGACAGCGTAAATAAAGTCATTTATTGTTCAATTGATTTTTCTCTTGTTGCTAAATTGTTTTTGTTTCGAGATTAATATGCTATTTCTACGTTAGTTATGGTAATCACCACTTTCTAATCACAATTGTGATCAAACATTATTGCAGTAGTTCGAAATCAGAAGAAAAGGCTCAGGGACCCTTTGTATATCATGTCCTAACAAAAGGCCTTGTTTCTTCTATTGTAATTTACTTTAAAGAAATTACGAGATCCAAATGAGTTATGTCTGTTTATCAGCATATCACAGTGTTTACATACCTTGACGTCTAGTCTAAACCGGTTCAAAGTAATCCAGGATGATGCACTTCACGATCAACACCATACCTCCAATGAAGAAAACATAAAGGCTTTCTTCTTGCATCGTTCCAGAAGCCACTGAGATACTCTAACAATACTGTAAGTTTAAACTGTATGCTGTAATTGAATAAAGCAATCAATGATATGCTTTTCATACTGTTAAGGACTTCCTTTATTAGTTTACATTAGAGTATGTTACAAGGTATTCATGTTATATTGTCTAATTGGTACAATAAATATGTCTGTTACTCTTATGATTGAAACAAATTGCAGGATTTATTATCTGTGATGAAGTTCATATGAAGTACTTGGGGCAAGTGGGAATAAAAGCTTCACACAAGGGACTTCATTTACACGGTAATAAATTTGTTTGTCTGGATAAATGAGTGTTGTTGTTTACTTTTTTTATCTGAATAGCATAAATGACCTATTTACCCCCCCAATATTAATTATTTGAACATCAAAACAAAAAATCATAAAGAGGTTGATGATGGGGTGTCTCATTTGGGAAGAAAGCGATGCTTTAAATAAGGGGTGGCGGTGTCATTTTTGTGGCTGAATGGGGACAACACACTATTTCTATCTGTGCGATTAAGCCATGTTAGTACGAATAAGCTGTAAGTAAACAACCCAAATGAACTGTGCGAATAAGGTAGATAGACCAATAAGCCTAATTAAGTGTCTGTGTATATATATATACACTTCATTTATTTGTCAGTAACTTATTTTAATAGGCTATATCATCTTACCATACAAGCTAAATTGAGCGACTAGATCGTCAAATGCGATGAAGTTATGACAAAGGCAAATAAACTTTTATGGTAGTTTAGTTGTGTGCCATTTGTATTACAAACATCTTAGTAGAGGAAAACAATTAGCAGTCCACAAGAGGTTTCAATCACAAGCGGCATATAAAGGCTAGGTCTTTGATAACAACTGACTGTTATTTTTAGGGCCTACGGGATTAGTTGAGATGTACACAAGCTGATACGTAAGGGTACCAAAGAAAAATGATTGAGATCAATGGTGGTGCTTGTAGGACATAGAAAACGTAAATGAAATTAAACTAGGGATGAGTCGAGGCCCATGTTAGACATGGTAGCCTTCGCCCCTCGGCCCCCCCCCCCCCCCCCCCCCCCCCACAAAAAAAAAACTGGTGCATTCGTTTCAATGATACAAAGCCACTTTTCGTCCAAATTTTGCACCTCCTTCGCGTTTTACGCCTGTGGAGAGTCTTTTAACCAGGGTGAGTGACTTCTAACAACTAGGAAATCATATATAAGCTCACTAATGTTCACATTTCCCACTTATGTTGGACAATATCTTTTCCATTCTCAACATTTAGGAGCTGTTTGCCAAACGGTAAAAGTCATCATCCTCACTTACCTTGTCGGGTTACGTTCTCGGCCATCAAAATGGATTATGGTAAGCGTCTTTTACCAGGTAAGCACTTGCTGGGTAAGCGTCTTCTCCATCACTTACCAGATAAGATTCCTGGTCCTTGTTGTGCCTCTTGTTGGGTTACATTCTCGGCCATCACTTGTTGGGTTACGTTCTCGGCCATCAAAATGCATTTGGTTTGATGAAATGATTTTCATGAATTTAGATTTCATGGAATGATTTGGAATATTTGGTGTTTGGTTTGTAGGATTTAGGGGTTGTTTGTTTACCTCTTGATAGTTCTATTAAGAGGCAGCCTCTGAATCGTTAAGAGATGAATCTTATTTGGCAAAAAAGAGTAATGCCTCTTAATGGTTTTAAAACCCTCGGAATGATTTTGTATCTTGGGTCTCTCTTAACCATTAAGCGCCCTAATTTCATTGTAAACAGTTACCAAACAATTATATTTCATTTTGCACTATATTATGAGAGCTTCTTAATCATTCTGCATCAAACCATTCAACAACTTCCAACCAGCCCCTTAGAATAAAATCGAATTCCATTCTTTGTAAATAATTTATAAAAACAAATTATACAAGTAATTAAGTTACTTTTTTATTAATTATTACAAAACTAATGTTTTTAACAAATTTTAAAACATTATTACATGCAAATCCTACAAAATCCCATGAAAACCAAGTTTCCAAGGCTTTTATTCTACCACATACCCAAGTTTGAATCTTGTTAGTGTCATTTTCTTAGTCAAATGATGTCGTCGTTTGAAAAAAAATATGTACATTTGTTTCTTATAGTCAAATGGTGTCATCGTTTGAACTTTTTTCCATATATATTTTTTCTTATAATCAAACGCTACCACCATTTGAAAAAATTTATAAGTCCGTCCCTGTCTTGATCTCTTTTTTCGTCCATAAGAAAATGTGATCGACCATGGATAGATGGAGCTCGAGATGACATTGTAGATGCTAACTAGAGCTAGTGATGAAGGGGAACATCGATAGAAATGGAACCCATGATGGAGGTCAGAGATGAGTTGTTGCTGGTGAATTCATCAATTGAATTTGAAGCAGTAGAACAATGATTGGGAAGACTTAAGGAGGAGGTGGTATGTAATATAATACTAAAAGGGTATTCGTGCAATGCAACGAGATATATTTTAATTTTAATGTTTTATTTTATTTATTTATTTTATCGATAATATGATTTTACGTGGTTTTAGAAAAACGATAATATTTATATTTTTGAATGAAATATAAATTTAAAAAAATACATCGATATTAGTATTAAATTAACTATTTAAAATTTCTCATTTTATGTGTAATTTTCTTTAATTCAATTTTTTATTATAATTTGATTTAGATTTAATAATAAAGTAATTTATTTTTGTTTAATAATGTAATTTTTATAAGGATAATAATTAAGTATTCTGTTAAATTCAATTATTATTCTAATTATATTTTAATTTTTTATATTTGAAATATATATTTAATTATGCTTATCTATAGTTAGTTACAATAATTAAAAAATAAAGCTTTAATAAATTGTACTTACTCACAGTTACTTGTAATTTTTAAGTAATATACATCGATAAACAATATTTCATGCATAAAAAAATGTTTTCAAAATTTTTTGTCAAATGATTTATAATATAGTATAATATTATTAAATATATATATATATATATATATTAAAAAATAATAAAATGACTAAGGATGAAAAGCTGGTGAGCGACGACCATTGTGAGAGATAGCAATGGAGGAGCGATGAAAAGCTGGGCAATGGAGGAGCGATGAAAATCTGGGAGAAAGAGACGGTGAGTTAGGGGAAAAAAGAATCCAACGGGAATGGATTGTTAAAAACCCATGTATTTTCAAAGAATTCTTAAATCCATCGGTCATGGGATTTTAAATTAATCCCTGGATTTTAAATCCTAGCATTCCTACAAACCAAACACAGGATTAGAATGAATTTTAAATCCAAATCCCTTCGATTCTATTTCATTCCTGCAAACCAAACGCACCCTAAATCCTAAACCATAGAATGTATTTCAAGATTCAGAGAGAACTTTGAAAAAAAAAAACAGAGAACCACGAAAAAATGGATGAAAAAAATATATCAAATTAAAGATAATAAAGTGATATATTTTTTTTTTTTGATGTAGCTTATTTTTTTTGTTTTTAAATTTAAAAATTAAAGAAAAATATTTATGTTTTTAAGAAAGATGATTATAACCACATCTTTAATCACATTCGTTGGATCATCTTAATCCAGTGGTTTGTATAACTTCTTCAGTTCTTTCTTTTATCAGGTTTTTCTTTTGAATCTTTAACAATATGAATTTGTAAAATAGATATAACTTACGGACCTATATCTATTTTTATAGATTTGGTCCCCTGCATTTACGGACCTGATTCAGAAACTTTCTTTTTTCCAAACCTGGTATAGAAAATTGCGAAAGTGATTGGACTAATTTACGGACCTAGTTTAGAAACTTAGGAGTTGTTTGCCAGTTGCTAAATTGTTTGATACAGAATGATTAAGTGGTCAGAATGATTAAGAGACTCTTATGATATAGTGCAAAATAAAATATAATTGTTTGTTGATTGTTTACAATGAAATTAGGGCATTGAATGATTAAGGGAGACCCATGATGCAAAATCATTCAGAGGATTTTAGAACAATTAAGAGACATATTTTGTTTTATCAAACAATATTCACTTGTTAACGATTCAGATGCTACATCTTAATTGAACTATTAAGAGTTAGGGGCTGTTTGGCAGTTATTGAATGATTTAGTGCAGAATAGTTAAGAGGTCAGAATGGTTGAGAGGGTCAGAATGGTTAAGTGCTGAATGAAATAATGTTGTTTGGTAACTGTTCTCTGAATGACAATAAATTACCATTTTAACCCTCTCTAACAAAAACCCATTATTYCATTTTAACCTTCACTTTTTGTTCCTCTTTGCCCTCATCGATGGCTTCAATCTGTGAATCATCATCGAGAATCATCATCCGATGAATCATCGAGAATCATCTAAACCCTAAACTAAATTCTTGCCCTTGTTCCTGGACCTTTCGATTGGAGTTTCGTATCTGATGGATTAACTCCGGTGACCAGCCTGAACACAAAATCAAACGCCATGTTATCACTGTTGTCGTTAAAATCTGCCGATTTCTTATCAGATATATCATTTTCGAGGTTCACAAAGAGCTCTGACAAGCTGGTCCGTAGATAGGGAATGAATTTCATGTGCGACGAAGCAAGGAACGAGAGGAAGAACGATTTCAAAGCATGATGGTTAGATTCGGCGGTGTCGAGGAAAGCACAGACACGGTAACCACTGAAGAAGGCCGTTGAGGGCATATAGGTGCCATCGAGAATGTTCTTCTTTTCGACTTTCGTGTTGTCGAAGAGAACGGTGAAGCTTTTGGAATCGAGGACGGCTACGACTCTAGGATTGGAGGAGATGAAAGGTCCTTGCCTTGGTTGTAAAAAGTAGTCGTAACGGTCTTTGATGGGTTCGAAGAACCGCCAGCCATAGTCACCGGGGATTTCTCGCAACGACATATCTGAGCAGGATGCAGGGTGGTCGGAAGATGAAGAAATCATGGTTAATATACAACGGCGACGGCGACGGCGACGTGCGTGAAGAGAGGGGTTGGGAAGAAGGGGTGGGAAGGGTAAACTTGGAAAAATAGATGTCTGAATGGTTTAGTGGTACCCTAGATGCAAAATGGTTAAGAGGGGGATTGTAACCATTAAGAGACATTTTTTTTT